GAGCCCTGTGCCTCATGATGGGCCACGTCTCCCCTCTTCTTCACACACCCTCTTCTTGTCTTTATATTGACATTTCTTCTCTCCCTTTTTTTGCTCAGAAGGTGAATCATAATACAAATAGAATGTTCACAATTTAAAGGTGTTTGCAGGAAGCTGAAGGGCCTACAATGCGTGTTCCTGCCTGCAAGATGCAAAAATGCCAAGAAAGTTTGCTGCCTGCAGTTACCACAAAGCATTAGTCCCTACCCAGAAGATTCAGTGGAGACAGACAGCTCCATTACCCACTTTGAAATAAAACCTACACATTCCCTAGTCCTAATCTTGCTGTCCACTGTGAGGGGCTTTCTCTGAGATGGGTTTAAAGAGAAAATGCATCTTCTAAAGCTGAAGTCATAGCTCAGGTGCCAACAAGAGATATGCACAGAGCAGGGCACATCAAGCAGGGTGCAGAGTTGAACCTCCATGGAGACCTAACCCGGTAGCAAAACGTAATACTCCCATGGATGGTTTCAGACTAAAGGCCTACAGTCTATTACCCTTCTGGAAGAAAGAGTAGTCTATTGTTCCATTGTTCTGGAATTTTTTTCCCTATTTCCTTGTTTATGTTCTTTTAGGGATAAATAATTAAGCAAAAATAACAGTGATAAAGTCAGGATGCTAGAAATTGCTTCATGTATGTAGCTATTACAGAAACACATACAATTGTGAGAATGTGTAACCCAGGAGCCATGGTGAAATGTTAGCAATTGGCAACTCTGGAACATGTCAGAGGTCTCACTTGATGCTAAATCATAAGATTACAAGAAGGCAGTGTGTGGCAAGGGGTCTTCACTGATGCCAACACAGCAAGGTCACCACAGCAGGAGGCAGGAAGGAATTTTAATATTGTGATGATTTACAGCTAGACTTTGAAAACAGTCAGAACCCAATAAGGGAAACAAATGAATTTAGAGCAATCAAATTGAGGAAACTGTAGGAAATTGGTTATAGAAGTGATAAGAGAACTGAGAAGACAAAATGTATGCTGAGTCATCTCAGAATTCACAACAGCAGAAGGACATTACCATTCCCAGGGCTGGTGGGGCAAAGGCAAGAAGGAGGTAATGTTCTTGCAGCTTGCATGCAGACGAACCAGAAGCATGAAATCATGTAGCCCCGCCTGTGGGGGCCAGGACCATGGGCAAAACAGCTTTCTGAGCTGCAAAGAAGTCCTCTTGCTTCTCACCAGCTCCTTCCCCCATGTCTGTCAATGCCTCCCTTTGGCTAGTCTATGAGGTACCCAGAAGGCAGGGTGTTGGAAAATGTGTGCAGTACACAGAACAGCACAGGGTAGATCTGAGAGCAGACGCAGGGATGCCTGGCCATTTTCTAAGCTACCCCACTCAACCTTTCTGGCATTTATTTCCTCATCTGCAAAATTGGGACAATGCTTCCCTTTACCTATATGACTTACATAACAGTGGTCAAGATAAGAATAAAATGACAAGAAAGGAGTTAAGGATTGTTACAGCCTAATCCTCAGTTCTCAACTTCCAAATTATGTCAACATAAAGAAAAGAGTTTGCAGCTTGGCACCTGTAGCTCAGCAGTTAGGGCGCCAGCCACATAAACCAGAGCTGGTGGGTCCGAATCTAGTCCGGGCCTCTCAAACAACAATGACAACTACAACAGCAAAATAGCCAGGCTTTGTGGTGGGCACCTGTAGTCTCAGCTACTTGGAAGGCTAAGGCAAGAGAATCACTTAAGCCCAAGAGTTGGAGGT